CAGCAACAGCAGCAGCAAAAGTTCATGTGTCGAAGTGCCACGAGTGTATGCACTTGTACCTGCTGCTGCTACAGCTGCTGCTGCACTGACCTGGTATATATATTCTCTGCACAGCGACTGTGGGCCTCAACAAGCGCAAAGAAGCTGAGGTTGCTTCTTCCTGCTGCTGTTGCTGCTGCATCTGCTGCTGTACCTCCGTTTGCTGCTGCTGCTGTTGCTGGCGTTGCTGCTGTTGCTGCTGCTGCTGCTGCTGCTGCTGCTACCTGCCCCTGCAACCCCTTCCACTCTGCCTCGATAGCCTCCGTCAAGGCGAAGTCCTGAACAGCCCTCAGAAAGTGCTGCAGCCGCTGCTGCAGCTGTAAGGCCCTAGCAGCAAAACGCTGCTGCTGCTGCTGCTGCTGCTGCTGCTGGTGCTGCTGCTGCAGCTGGTGACGCTGCTGCTGCTGCTGCTGCTGCTGCTGCCGCTGCAGCATCCAGCAGTCCGCGACAGCACCCAAAGCAGCATCGAGACGCAGCAAAAAAACAAACACGTCCGAGTACCTCTCCCTCACAGGCTGCACATACACCTCAGCTCTAAACCCTAAACCCTAAACCCTAAACCCTAGGCTCTTACACCCCTTAAAACACTGCGTTTCTCTGCGTATAGAGAGATGTGTCGGCGCCCTCCTCGCAACGTCTCCCAGGGTTTAGGGTTTAGGGTTTAGAATTAGGGCCTATGGTATAGAATGAGGGTTTAGGGTTTAGAGTGAGGGTTTAGGGTTTAGAGCGAGGGTTTAGGGTTTACAGAGGTCAGGAATAAGTGCAGGGGCGGCGGGGCATCCGGAAGGACCTGCAGCGAGCTCAGGAGCTCTGCTGCTGCTGTTGCTGCTGCTGCTGCATCTGCTGCTTCTGTTGCTGCAGCTGCTGCAACGCCGGAGCGCATGCTACAGGTGAGCCGCAGCAAGTGCTGTTGCTGCTGCTGCTGCTGCTGCTGTTGTTGTTGTTGCTGCTGCTGCTCCTGGGCTGCTGCACTGCTGGGGAGGGAACTTAGGGCCCCCTGCAGCAGCAGCTCAATGTCGGTGCAGAGGGCCCCCTTAGCAGCAGCAACAGCTGCAGCAGGAGCAGCAGGAGCAGCAGCAGCAGGTGTTGCTGTAGCTGCTGCTGCTGCAGCTGTTGCCGCTGAGTTTGCTGCGGCTTGACCTCGGGGTGTCTGGGGTGGGGGCCAGCGGAACCCAGGCCTGTGCGCATGCGCTGCTGGTTGCAGCAGCAGCTGCTGCTGCTGCTCCTCTACATGCTGCTGCAGACGTTGCTGCAGCAGCAACCGAAACTCCTGAACTGTGTGTGTTGACTCGAACAGCAGCAGCTGCAGCAGCAGCAGCAGCAAACGCAACAGCAGCAACCAAGGACCAATTCCCCAGGCACGAGCCTCTCTATGAAAACCAGCAGCAGCAGCTGCTGCTGCTGCAGCAGCAGCTGCAGCAAGGGAATGCAGCGGCGCAGCAGCAGCAAGTAGGAGAGTAGCAGCAGAGGAGAGCAGCAGCAGCAACAGCAGCAGCTCCAACAGCAGTACGCGGAGCAGAAACAACAGTAAAAGCAGCAGCAGCAATGACAACAACAGCAGCAGCAACAGCAACAACAGCATTACCATCAGCAGCAACAGCAGCAGCAGCAGCAACC